TACAAGTGTCACATTAAGCTACAGATTATTTTGTTAAGCTTTTCTCTGTGTGTAAAGGATGAGAGCAAAACAAAGATTCTTGGTAATATATTTCTGCTTCTCTGACCTAAGTAACAGACTACTTAAATATCTCAATACAAAAAAAATTCAGTCCTAGAAAGAATACAGGCATTGTTCACTTTTAGATTATCAGACTTCATTGCTATTTGTCTGAAAATATGACTTCTCTGAAATACTTTTTATGTTTGCAACACAAAATTTTCAGAGGAATTTATATTCTCATTAATTTTTAATTCATTGAGAACATTCATTAATTTGAATTGTAAACACAGAGACATAATAAACTTCACTGTAGACTGAAAAGTAGAAAGATTAGATCCACTTTTTCATGCACAGTCTTTTGTAAAAACTATGAAACACCAACCAGTTTCTGCTATGACATATATTGCAGAGTACAACTTAAGGAATTACACTGAATCTTACTAATTCCCAGTTGATTTCTTTCTTCACTGGATACCAGCTGAGCACCTACCAGAGACAGAGTCCTCAGCATCAAACAGCATGTAATGTAGTGTGTTTTCTTTGCATTTTATGAATATAAACCCTAATTTATAATACATACTGATAACTTCCTTAGAATCAAAAGCCTTAAGGGAATGTGCCCATGATGTTGGGTATCATGACCACAAGTCAGGGTGTCACAGTAGCTGAGTGTTGAGAACCTGTCCTTCATTCCCAACTGAAGCCTTCTCCAACCAGCTGTGTCTTCAGTTATCTGTTTTCAAACTTTCAGCTAAGGTCATTTAGGTCACCATATTTCAGTTTCCTTTCCCTCCCCCCTCCCCAGGACTGAACCCAGGAAGTTCTATCACTGAACTACATAATCAGTTCACCCCCTTCCCCACTTTTTTTGAGATGGGGCCTTATTAAGTTGGCAAGTCTGGCTTCGAACTTATACTCCTCCCGCCTCAGCTTCTGAGTTGCTGGGATTTATAGGTATGTGTTGCCACCATGCCTGGCCACTGGCCAGTTTCCTTTTTGTTAAAGCAAAAAAAAAAAAACAGAAAAAGTAAAATGTTTATACTGTATTTAGTTATTTATTATGTTTATACATCTTTAATATTTGTGTTAAACATATAATAATTCATGAGTATATATTCTTTATAATTCACAATTTTTCTCTTCCTTCTCCATTTCCCCTACCTTTTTACATGAACCATGTAAAGATGTAATTAGTCAATTTTATGAGATCATATTTTTGGCAATTTTTAATTTGCATATTAAAACCTTAATTAGACCCTCTTACCTCATTCTGTTTAATACTGCACAGTATTCCACGATATGAATATATCATAATTAATTTCTATCCTGTTGCTGATCAGTAACATCATGTCACAGACTTTCAGGTGAAAATTCTGTAGTGACTTTACTAACTGGTTTTCACCTTCACCTCTTGCCCCCTCATACTTATTTACTCTCTACATCATTTAATTTTCTAAATTACGCACTTTCCTAGAATCTATTAGCCTCATCTTTAACTGTAACTCTTAAAGGAATTATGCCTCTTTTTATAAACCAATACTGAAGTAATTCTTTTTTAATATTCTTTACACTTCTAGACTTACTTTTATTCTCAGGGGAAAAGTTACAATATTTTAAGCACACAAACAGAATATAACCTGGTTTAAAGGAACCAGAGAAGATATTGTTCTCCATTTCATCAGTCTGAGGCCAGGAAATATGAGTATTAAAAAAGGCCATATGTACGATCCTATTTCAGGAAAAGTGCATGGGGGCCCTTATTGTTCCCACTTGCCTACTTTACTGCCATAAACTTCCACATTGGATGTACTTTTAAATCAAGGCTTATCTTCCAAATACCTGTTAATGTATACATTGGAGGTCCACTACCATGTGTGTTTTAATGGTTACAGAAGACTTTTAAAAAGCTTTAAAATAGAGTGGGCACAATCCCCTGCAAATCCTAAAAGATGTCAGAAGTGAAGTGTGGAGATTTTCCTGGGACTTCTCTGTTTTATATGGTTAGAAATTACCTGCTCCATTGACCACTCACCCATAGCATCTGAAATGTATGTGCTCACTTTAGACTTGGGGGTCTTTAATATCTTAATGTCAATGGTGACACAGTGTGAGGTGTGGCCAGGCAGCTTTCATTATCCAAACTGGTAGTCCTTCCAAGTGCATTGCTATTATAGTTTCTAGAAGCAATATAGCTATTTCTGTCTTAACTCCTCACAAATATATGCATCCATATCCACAACACACACACAGCCAAGAAGTGCACAATACTGCCAGTCCACCCAAAGGATGCTTCACTTCCCCAGTGGTTCCAGACTGGTCCTGAGCAAATTTCACATTCTCAGGATGCACAGCTTAGTATATGCAGAATTAGGAATTTTGTCCTGTTTGAAAGATGCAATTTCACGCAGTCTCCTTAAACTGCTTGCACTGTAAGGATTCCAGAGTCATTTTGAAGGAAGCATAATGACATTTTGGTGCCTTAAGGAAAAAAATACTTGCTTAAGCTGATGATATGCTGCCCAGCAATTTAAACAGATTATCAAAACTTTCTCAGAAAGTATGAATTCTGGGAATACACTCTCTTGCATAAGCCAAATAATGGAGTGGGAAAGATATTTGCTTTATGTGGAAGACTCTTTCCTATCAATTATTGCATAGGTGAAAACTCACCTAGAATATTCTCCTGAGCAAACTCTGATTCCTTCCTGTTTTTCTATACTAAACTTTTTGTACGTTTTTTTGGTAATTTTAAAAATTGGCATAATATACGTAATGGGATTCATTGTAATATATTCATGCATGCATAGCACATAATTTGGTCTAAATCTTCTATTTTCCTTCACTAAGATCTCTCCAGTGTTTAGGTTTGCAGAGGAAAAGGAGATACTATAGGAAACAAAAAGCAAACTTTCAGTTCCATTTTTTTATCTGGGTTAAACTATATTTTTTTCCTAGTTGACAATTAATTTTATCTATCTTAAAGTTCAGAGTTTGATCTGTAAAATGAGAAGACATCATTGATCCAATCATGTCTTTTGCCTTTCTAGAAAATTTAGTTTGCAATTAGCCATGATCTCAGCCAAAAGTATCTGATAAAGGAGGCAGAAATATAACAGTTAAGGGACAATAGAATGTGTGCTGCATGTATTAGAGATATGAAGAGAATATTATATGAAGTAGTAAACACCAAAACCAAAATCAGTCCCCCCATCACCTGAGGTTTGGGAATTTTTCCCTTTATTTTGTTAAAAAGTAACAACTTCAGCTATGTAAACCTTAGGAAACTTTAGAGAAGCCAATGATAGCTGATAGCTGTTAATGATGAACTCCTATCCAAGCACACTGAGCAAGCCTTTCAACCCTGCAGCCTTCCATTGATGCTGGTGAGGGTCTCTTTTCCCTAGGATTCTAGCTGTCTGCTGAGCCAAACAGTTCCCAGTGGAACAGACTAGGACTCAGAACAACATATTTTAAATAAGCCATTTTTTGCTTTCTGATTTCAAGTTTAAGTATCATTCATTATAGCTAAACCTACCAGAATTCTGTATAAAATTTGGCTGTACTTTGGGAGACGGGCTAGAGTCTGGGGAAAGAGTAGAAAAGAGATGATGGTTAGGAGGTCGCTTGAGTAGTGTACACAAGCTGAAATAAGGTCCTGAACAATAAAACGTGTGGGGCAGGAGAATGAGCCGTTTCCAAAATATTAAAAATTGGACTTTGACCATTAGATGCAAAGTGTAAAGAAAAGTGAGTAAAAGTTTTAGATGGAAGGACTGGGCAAACGGTTTGTCCCTTTCCAGAGTTGGACCTACAGGGGAAGAGGCAGGTTTGGAAATGAATAGAAAGAAAGGTGTCCACTTGTGGATGGATGGATCTCGATGCCCATCAGTGGCAGACAGAAATTGATGTTGATGATACTAATCATTTGGATAATTTAAAAACATTTGAAAAAGAGTTTCAAATGAAGTTCCAGAGTTTTTCAGACATATATAAGTTCTTATTCACTTTCATGTAAGGCCTTACTTTTTTTGTGACTGATTCCTACTTCTGGCACCTGTTGTAAATAATCACAAAATGAGCGATCTCTTCAAGAGTAGAAATTTACCTGCATGTGGTTATTACCAGTTTTCAAAGATGTTTGTTCCTTCTCAATAGAAAAATATTTTTCTGCAAATACCATATATCAATACCTTTAAAATATTTTTGTAAAGCTTGATATTATGGTCACTATAGTTCTCTATCATAAAAAAATGTTTCTACTACTGAATAGAAAGCAATTTAGCCATCAAAGTTGTGAAATAAGCTAGTACCACATTATCTCACTCTTATGTGGCATCTCAAAAGGTTGATATCATACAAATTGAAAATAGCATGGTAGTGACTACAGGTGGGGAAGATTAGGGGAGGGTTGAGAAAAGGTTGATCAATGGACACTGTGTTAACAGAGAGGAATAAGAAGTTCCTGTGTCAGCAACTCAGGAGGCCAAGGCAGGAGGATCACAAGTTTGAGGCCAGTCTCAGCAACTTAACAAGACTCTATCTCAAAAAATAAAAGATTTTTTAAAAGGCTAGGGATGTATCTCAGTGGTACAGCACCCATGGGTTCAATCCCCAGTACCAAAATAAATAAATTCATTAAAAAACAAAAGTTCTGGTTTGCTGTTACACAGTAGGGTGACTGTCAATAACAGAAGTGTACTATACATTTTGAAAAGCTAGAAGAAACATTTTTAAAGCTTTTACCATAAAGAAATGATAAATGTTGGAGGAGATAGGTATATTTAACCTGTCTTAGACATATCACAATGTACATATGAATTGAAATATTATATGGTACCCCACTGGCATGTACGATTTTTAATGTTTAAAAAATAAAATAAAAATTATCTGACAGTTTCTCTCAAGGTATTCTGTAGTTATATTTATTCTCATGGTTTTTTCATTTATTCTCTTCTCAGAACTTGACAGCCCAGAAGAATTAGGGAAAAAGCGCATCTGCAGGATCATCACTAAGGATTTTCCCCAGTATTTTGCAGTTGTTTCACGGATTAAGCAGGAAAGCAACCAGATTGGTCCTGAAGGTGGAATTCTGAGTAGCACTACAGTACCCCTTGTCCAAGCATCTTTCCCAGAGGGTGCTTTAACAAAAAGAATTCGTGTGGGCCTCCAGGTACTGTTCACAAAATACTGTTTCTTTATAAGCACTGTTTTCCCCAGCACATGTAGAGAGCATGTGAAAGTATTTTGCTCTGAAAATGGTCATCATAACTCATCCTTAACGATACTGCCAATTAGGCCATTTTGGGAATCATTAACCTATTTCAGATGAAAATCTTTAAGTGTAAAGTTAGCTTAGTAACTGGTTAAATAAGGTTATATATTTTTAGAGTTTTTCTGTTCAAAAGTCTCAGTTTCTGATGAAAAATGATTTTTTCTTGGGTCTGAGAATGTGAAATAACATACAAAAACTTGGTTTATAATATGCCACATCATAAAAATCAGTTACAGTGAAACTTGCAAGCTTTAGTTTGGGGTTTAAGTAAATCATAAATGTTGGGTTTCCTCCAACCCAGTTGGAACTTGTCTTGGTTTGGAAAGCTGACTGGAAATCTTGGCAAGAATGATCTTTCTTATATTTATTCATTTCAGTTAGGTTAGACCTTAACTAGTCCCCTTTTTCCTCATTGAATAAGGAAAATGAACTGAAAAGAACTTAATTTGTGTTGATAAAATAGTAATTAATAGTTTAACTGAAAGTTCATGCTCTTCTTGTGAGGCTGACTCTCCTGCCCAAGGGAGTTTGTTGTACTCTTAAGTCCTGGGAATGCCTTTAGTAAATACTTGGAGTCCGGGACCACCTTATATTTCAGTCATATGAAGTTTCCTTCACCTGTTTCCTGTATTGAATTATTTTGCCAAATTAGCAAAGAATCCAAAAGAAATGAGGTAGGCTTAGTAGACTAGCATTCAGATCTTTGAAACTTTGAATGCTGTTTTGTTTCTGACCTCTGAAAGCCTCGGTTTTTAAGTGAGTACAAGTTGACTTTGTGAGGTTTTTATGGAATGTCCTGTATAGGTTTAATGTATATGGAGCTAAATATTTGTTGTCCTGGAATTTGAAGTAGACTAACAAGCTTCTGTGCTCTGATTTGGGTCTCTTCTTTTTATGTAAGCCAGTACTATCTGCATTCTACTGAGGAAACAGGCTGGCTAGTTCCTGCCGCTGTGTTTGGTTCTTTTGTCAGTTCATGCCTTGAAATAGCAAGAAAGGATTTAAAAAAAAAAAAAAGATATTGTGTTTGTTGTTGTCAGATTGGTTTTTTCTTTCTCACTTCAAAAGTAACCTTGATGAAAAAAAAAAAGTGAATTTTCATTTAAGGTCCTTTATGTCTAGGCCCAGCCCGTTCCAGAGGAAATTGTGAAAAAGATCCTTGGAAACAAAGCAACATTTAGCCCAATTGTCACTGTGGAACCAAGAAGAAGGAAATTCCATAAACCAATCACAATGACCATTCCAGTGCCCCCGCCCTCAGGAGAAGGTGTATCTAATGGATACAAGGGGGACACAACACCCAATCTGCGCCTTCTCTGTAGCATTACAGGTTTGGCTTAGTCGCTGCTATACTTCCTATTGATTTGCAATAAGTCTGTACAAAGACATAAAACCTTTGAAATATCCATGCCAGTATTTTTTTTTCCCTTTTCTATCACCTCATCTCTCTTATTGCTGGAATAATTTAAGATGCTGGTCTCATGAATCATTTAAAATTTAGGGGTATTCTCTGCTATTAAGTTAACATTAGAAATAGAGCCCTTGTTGGATTACTGAGGTATTCTTGATTCTATTGGAGCATCTAGGTAATTTCTCAGTAACCCAAACAGAGGAAGTAGAACTAGCAACACCCTTTAGGCTACCAGGAAATTGGATAGACTTTTGGGAAATATAGATTCCACAGAGCACTACCAGTAGGGAAGTGTTGAGTACATAATTATTCTCACCTACTCCATTCACCAGTGCTATCCAATAAAATAAATACAAGGCTTAAGAGAACACATTTTGTGACAAGTACCTAGAATCCCAGTCCTCAATTCATCCTTTGATTATCTCAGTCTGATTTTTAACTTCAAGTGCAAGTCTAAGATCATTAACAGTATGTTTGGTTTTGGTTTTTGAGGAGTAACTTTAATGACAGATTTTTTCCTTTTACCCTGGAAAAGTAAATGGTTCAGCCAGGTACAAAATGAGCTGGTTCTTAACTTTCTTGATAGTTCTTAACAGTTTTGTTTTTAAGCATATATTATCTATCTGAAACTACACATCATTGCACTTATAAAATACACTATAAATTGTGGATTTCCCAAGTTTAAACCATCCATTGCTATCCAGACAAACAGAAAAAAAAATTTTTTTTAAAAAATTAACAATATGGGAGCTGGTCACTGTGGCACATCCCTGGAATCACAGCTACTTGGGAGGAGACTGAGGTGGGAAGATCGCTTGAGCGCAGGAGTTCAAGACCAGCCTGGGCAACATAGAAAGACCCTCATTACAAAATATGTCAACATTTAAGGAGATAATAATGAGCTGGTAAAAGTGTAAAAGGAGAAGAGAAGGAAAATCTACATTTAGTACACACCACTGAATTGAAAGTGTCAAAATCATGCCAGTTGCTGTAACAGGAAGAACAGGAGGATGATAAGTTTACAAGCTGCATCTCCGATAGTAAAGTCACCGTCTCTGCTGCTCTTCTCAGGGGGCACCTCACCTGCTCAGTGGGAAGACATCACAGGAACCACTCCTTTGACGTTTATAAAGGACTGTGTCTCTTTTACAACCAATGTTTCAGCCAGGTATGGAAAGATTCTAATAAGCATTAAAAAATTGGTTCTATATCCTTTTGGGAAACAAACATGTTGCTTTCAAAACTATGTGTTTTGTTCTGTTTTGTTTTAATGGGGGAGAAAATCCTTAATGTTTACTTAGCACAGTTATTATGAGTAATAAACAAAGCTTTTGCATTTGAAAAGGACAGTAAAAACCTTTGCTGTTTAAATAAACAAGTGGTTAATAGTTTGGTTTATTTCCTTTATATATTTACTTTGTTTTTATTTATTTTGGTGCTATAGAACAAACCCAAAGACTTGCACATGCTAAGTATGTGCTCTGCCACTGAATTGCATTCCTAGCACCTGAGTTTTCAAATTGTGTGGGTTTTGCATTTTTTTTTAAAGATGTAGCTTTTAAATCACTTCATTTTCATAATTCTGTTTTTGTTTTTCTTAGATTTTGGCTTGCAGACTGCCATCAAGTTTTAGAAACTGTTGGGTTAGCCACACAGTTATACAGAGAATTAATATGTGTTCCATATATGGCCAAGTTTGTTGTTTTTGCCAAAATGAATGATCCTGTAGAATCCTCCCTACGATGCTTCTGCATGACAGATGACAAAGTGGATAAAACTTTAGAGCAGCAAGAGAATTTTGAGGAAGTTGCAAGAAGCAAAGACATTGAGGTACCTTATTTACAATAAAAAGTTCATTTAATTACATTTTCCAGATACAGGCTTTTATTTTGAGGTTATAATAGCACTATAAATCTCAAGTACATTCTTTGTATTTTAAAATTTTGCCAAAGATTCACTCTCAAATTATTTTAAGAGTCTATGGGTTATCAATTAATTAGAATATAGTACTAATGAATCTAAGTTATGGTCTCCATTTTCCTGTGGCTACTTGAATTTTCTTTTTTTCATGGTCACTGTCTACACACATTACCATGATTTTCCTTTTTCAAACACATAAGTATTCAAGAGTCAAAAAAAATTCAAACTAGATCAGTAAGTGACCTAACATAACTTTCTCAAGCATGTTTGAAATTGGCAGAAGTTAAACACATAATTGTGTTTTGTACATGTTAATGATAGCAATTGTTGAATTGTAAGCCCACAGAATTATTTTTATGGCAAATAACAACATATTTCCTGATAAAGAGACAAATGTGACAAACACGTTTTTTGTGTGTATTTGTGTGATGCTGGGGATTAAATTCAGAGCCTTACACAAGCTAGTCAAGCGGTCTACCAATGAGCAGCATCCCCAGCCCACATGTAAGACTTTTAATTAATGTTACATGACTTGAAATATCAAATATTCCTAACTCAAATTAATGTTATATTTTATATTTCTTTTACTTTTTCAAAAGGTTCTGGAAGGAAAACCTATTTATGTTGATTGTTATGGAAATCTGGCTCCACTGACCAAAGGAGGACAGCAACTTGTATTTAACTTTTATGCTTTCAAAGAAAATAGACTGCCATTTTCCATCAAGGTAAATCATCTTTAACAGACTCCATTAAAAAAAAAAAAACTTAGCTAATAAAAAGAAAAGGCAGCCAGACATGGTGGCACAGGCCTATAATCTCAGTGGCTCAGGAGGCTGAGGCAGGAGGATTGCAAGTTCAAAGCCAATCTCAACAATTTAGTGAGGCCCCATCTCAAAATAAAAAGGGCTGGGGATGTCACTCAGTGGTTAAGCACCTTTGGGTTCAACCCCTGGGACCAAAACAAATAAATAAATAAAAGGGAGAAAAAAAAAGCTTAATGATTTATTTAGTGTGAAATACCCCACCAATGTAAACTCATAAGAACAGATCAGATTTTGTTCTATTTTTACCAGAGTATAACTTTCCAGCCAGTGAAGTTTTATAATTAGTAAAAACAATCTACAATAAAATGTAGATGATTTTATTGTAGATTTAAAATTTTTAAATGTCTAGCTAAAGTTCAGTGATCAAATAAAGAATGAAATCTAGATTCAGTATTCAAGTTTTGTTTCCATTTCTGAGGAGAAATGGAAGCCCAGAGACATTCTTCAGACAACAAGATAGGACAGTTGTTTTATTACTGTTATTTGCTGTTATTGTTGTGTGTTGCAAAAACTAAAGATCTGAAAAAATGTTAGGAAGAAAATTCATGAACTATTAAGATAAGACAAGCAGACAGTCCTAATGCTTAGGCTAGGAACTAGGCCCCTAAGTCATGCCAAGTTCAAATGGGACCAGTCTGGTTGACATGTAATTGTTACCATCTTTTCCCTTTACCTTTCCTGCATCTAAAAGGGCTTCATGAAACAAACGTGTTTCATCTTATATAGACAGGAATCCTCAGAAAAGTCTGTAACTGTCACCTACCAAAATTATTCTAGATTAGAGACACCAGCCAAGAGCCCTGTGGTCGTCTATCTTTTCTGAAAGAACCAAAGACAACAAAAGGACTGCCTCAAACAGCTGTTTGCAACTTAAATATTACTCTGCCAGCACATAAAAAGGTATCTTTTAATACTGGTTCATTTTTACTTTCCCTGGTCTTGAAGAATTGGGCCCTTGGTATGCACTTAAGGAATGCTTTGTAACACAATTAAAGCTCTTGAAACTCAAGTTTTATTAGTCTCCTTGTGTAGATTGAGTCTTGTTACTGTGGTGTCAAATTTTTATAGTGTGTATGATGGAGTCCTCTGTTGATCGCTTCTGCTGGTAGTTCATAGATTTTTTTTTTTATGCTTTCAAATACTGTCACACATTAATTTGCCATGGATGTACAGTTCTTGATATTTTTTGTTGGCTTCTTTTGATTTGCTTTGCTTTCTAAACCAGCTTGCATTTTGTGCTCCCTACTCAGTCCTTTTCATATCCTGATATTCTTTTCCCTGCTGTCCATTATAATATTCCTTGTCTCTGCAATGCATCTTGGGACCAAAAGGAGACAGAGTCAGATCAAGATGATGAGGTAATATGAATACTTCTGCTTTTATTCTATTGGAGGTAGAATAGATGTTAAGTATGTATAAAGGAAGTTGCAGAGGGCTGAAGTGTGGGCAATGTATAAATTATTTTTGTATAGGTCTTAAGTGAGGTAAAGAGTGTACTTTTTTTAAAAAAGGAGTTCACTCTTCCTCCAGGTACGCAAAGACTATTTTAATATATTCCACAGCATTATAATCCAATTTATGATTATAAAATAAAAACTAAAGCTATTTAAACATTTTAAAATGTGACAGATTGGGACAGATTGCCATGTATAATTTTTTTAAAACTCTCATATGTATATTTTACCATCTATAGTCCTACTGCACACTATTACTAGTTTTAAATCAAGATCATGATTAATAGATGAAGTTTTACTATACCAAATCAGCTTGTGTTTTTTGTAATATGAAATATTTCGTCACTGGTTTTTGATAGACATTTGCTGTTCTAACTAAAGAAATTTATCTTGGTCCTTTTCAAAGAGTAGAGTTGTTCAATTAAATTGTAAGAGAAATTTTCATAAGTTACCTCCTAATGTTTCTATAAATTAAATGACAAATGGATTTTTAAAACCCACACATCAATCATAGAGTCAGCAGCCTCAGGACTCAGTAACATTATTGCTAATAAAAACCATTCACCTGTTTTTAATCTCATCTATACTTTATGCCTATTAACATACAGAAACCACAGTAGTAATTGGAATAATCAACTTTGTGTGCCTTTTTTCCTTGAATGTACTCACATAGTGAGTGTACTTTGTGATGTATGTGCTTTCAATATGAATGAATTGGGGAACACTTACTGCTCAGCCTCTGTAATGCTCGTCTTTTATTTGTAGTTCCCTGTAGTCTGCTGTGTTGGTGCTCTTATATTTGCTAAATCATGGCTACTGGGTTGAGATACCGGGATGGGGTGTTAAAATCCCAGTACGAAATTAACATTGTTCAAGAGGAAAATGCATAAGAAGAAAATTAAGGATAAACATATCAACATGCCATGCTACAAAATGTTTCAAAATTGAGAAAATGTCACAGGGAAGTTGGAAACAGAGTCTCTCTTTTTTCTTTTCTTTTTCAGACGGAGAAAGCAGATCGACGACAGAGTTTTGCATCTTTAGCTTTACGTAAGCGCTACAGCTACTTGACTGAGCCTGGAATGAGTGAGTTTTCTAACATATTTACTAATCTATGTGAATTTTTATAAGAAGAGACATTTTTTCTATACAAACTAAATTTTGATGTCATTTGAAAACCAATAACTAAGAAAAGTTGCCTGCAGGAAAACCTTATCATGAAATCTAATACTCTGTACATAATTGAAGATACAAGGTACCAACACCCCTAGTTCATAGCTTCAAAAGAGTTTTTTTTAACCATTTACTATTTTTAAAATTAGAGACATATATTTTTTATTTTACTTTGACGACTATTAACTGTGGTAGGAGATGAATAGCAGTGTTACTTTATATCTATGCTCAAAAGAGAAAATGTTTAATCCTATATTTTGGGGATGACAGAAAGAATGGCAAAGTTACTTTGGTTGTTATCTCATTTTTCTTAATATAGATAGATTGTTGTATACTGGTCCCAATTCTTTCCTTCCCATTTTGCGAGAATTATATTTTCTTACTTTCTTGAGGTAGGACTTTTTCACTGATTTCTTATCTCTTCCCTCCTCTCATCTCCCTCCCTCTGTCCTCTATTAAATATCAGTTCTAAGGCTGGTCTTCAGACTGGTTAAACCCTCTTGTCTCAGTGATGGTTCCAGTTCCTTGTTAAATGGCTTGCAAGCAAGGTATAGATGCAGTCATATTCATTCTCTCTGCCTCCTCTTCCTTCTTCCTTGTAATTATTATATATGGTAGTCACCATAGCCTTCTAGATAACCCCTTCTTCCCAGGGAACTGAGAACACAGGGAGTAAGTATGTATTTGATTAATGGTAGAGTGTTGCCACTTTAACCTCAGAGAGCTTCATTTTGAAGAGAATTTATACAAAAACATTTTCTCATTGGTCAACCATCCCTAGCTTTCCCCGCATTGATTCACAGTTAACTTGAGTTCATAGAGGTTTAGAACTTTGTCAGTAAGAGCCACAATTTTGTTTTTTCCTACCTTTCCTGAATTCATGTTGCTGTGGACCAACATAACATAGGCAGCAGGAAACTACTCCACTATTTAGTTTAGATGGTTGAGGTCCAGACTACTAGGAAAGCTAATATTCAGATACAAAATGGATAGTATGAAAGAAATGAAACCCTTCCATGATCAGGAACATTCCCTCAGTTCTGAGTTTTTTCCTCTAGCAGAAAGATCCAAATGCTTCCAAATATATTGGGGCTGAAATTAACTTCTGTTGTGTTAGAGAGCAGGGAAAGGGTGTAGTTGTAGCTAGCTGGTTTTTCAATATGGTGAAAATATACTGGATATGAGTTTTTCTTTGGAATAGCATTTTGCCCTGGAGACCCTCATTGGGTGGTAGTTTTGGTCACCACCACCCCTTTCCCCGACCCAGGCAGTATTCTTAAGCTTTGGACAGGTTTGATGGACCAGCTGCTTAAGGTCCATGGCATCTCAGGGAAGGTGAGTTTCCATCTTATTCTGGTCCTTAAGGTATTTAGGGTTTTTTTGAGGGATATTTGAATTTTAAGATCATGCATATGCTCAATTTTTAATTTTTCTCACTTATGAAAGTGTTGCTACTTTTTTGTTAAAATTTCATTTAGATATGTGCAGTCTGCTATCCTTTTGATAAAAGGAAATAGTTTTCTCTTATGATCAGACACACAAAGGTGGTGAAATGGAAAGGAATAAGAAGGAAACTAAGGACTAAAAGGAAACTAAGGAAATACCAAGACCCCCTGAGTTGGTGTTAGAACTCCAAGCGAAGGCCACTTTTCCCTCATTTACCCTGGCCCTTCCACGCCCATTCCCTGTGTCCCAAGAAGATTCTAGTGTAGTTCACTGCCTAACATCCAGAATTTCCCTTGGTCATAAAGGGTATCACAAAGTGTATGTCATTAAAACATATAAAATGTGTAACTAACTGGCAAGCTGGTTGTTCTTGGCAAAGTATATAAAACCACAGACATGATTCAAAATACTAGTCTGATGGAGCCAGCATTCATCAGTAAGCAAGGCACTTCACCAGTTTCTTGTAGTTACAAAAGTAAATTCTTAAGACCTAGACATGAGCCCAAATCATTCAATTGAAAAGAACCTTCAAATCATCATTCATTTGCAATGTGGCATTTCCCAAAAGAGTTATGCAGTATAATTTGGGAATTATGGCTAGGAAGGATAATAAATAGGTGAGTTTTCCATAGTTCCACTTTCTTTGGAATAATATGTCAGCCTAGAAGAGAACATTTTCTGAATATTTGACTTTAAATGTACACTAGGAATGAAAATCTTCACCCTTGTGGGAGTAGCTGCTAATCCAAGGACTGGATTGTAGCAGTGGCACGGGCACAGCACGAAGAGGAGCATAAAAGATGAAGCAGATTCTCATTTACTCTTCAAGTTCACTGTTGTTCTGAACCATTGCTTTCTTGGAACAAGACTGTATACAACTTTGACGTTGAACAGTAGCCCTTGGCAGGCATTCCAAATCTCTGTGATCAGATCGGTTTGTTTGTTAGAACTGTAGAAGTAGAGAGGACTGAGAGTGTGCTTGCTGTCCCTAGTGAGTGTGCTTACCTCATCTGTGTGCTTCTTGCCCCACTGAGATAAGAACGCTAGTATTACCTCCATTTTTCCTAGTGATAGGTCTGATTCATGGCTGCTCCCATGTTTGGGGCTACCCATGAATATTCTGGAAAAGCACCAGAATCCATACCTTTGTAATTGATAAGCATATATGTATATACCTATGTACCATATTTCACTGCAGGTACTTAAATGTGGGGTATTAAAAATATGACTGCTTTAGATTTTCCCATGATACCTTTTGAGAATTAAAAGTAGAATAGATTGTGAAAAAACTGAGATAATGTATGTGCGTTTATTCATAATTTAGACTGCTACAGACATGGATATATTTAGTTACCAATGTATTTTATAATGTGAGGATTTTATTTTCCAAAAATCTCAAAAGGTACCAAGGCTTCACATCTCATGGAAAAAGTGTACTCTTCTTTCTTAATACTCTCATGAAAGTATTTTTGAAGGTTATATTTTGTGCATAATATGGCATACAAATTGTATTACTTCATTGGCTTGTTTGCCATGATATATTGCGCATGATAAAATGTTTTCAGTTGCTTTGCTTGCTTATGGTAACCATGAACCATATTTTCTAGTTTTTTTCCCCTTTGTATGTGTATACATGCATTTTTAAATCATTTCATATTACATTTTCTTTTTTCCTCTCATCAAAAGGAATATACTGCATGAAAAGATAAATGCAAACATTCCTTTTCTTTGTTTTTGTTTTTTTGTTTAAAATTCTGACTCAGAAAATTTCTTGCTCTTATTGGCTTTTTATGGGTGTAAAGCGTAACCGAATTGTGCATGGAAGATACAGATTTAAAATCCAGTGGCTTCACAGTTTGCACATCAGATGCCTGTCTCTTTAATAGTTATTTTGGATTCTGCATGAAATAGGCTTGAGTGGTTTTCTAAAAAAGAGTTTCAGAAATTTAATGCATAGATTGACACATTGAAATGCTTCTAAATAGGTGCAATCTGTAACATGGAAAGGCTCTAGGAGAGGGAATATTAGAAATTATTAAAACAAGAGTCATATGGTTGCACAAAACAAACATACCTATACAGGCAAAACGGAACGGCTACTGCTATTTCAAAACCAGCACATAAGAAAGTCAATAGGAAGTAAGGGAACAGTGTTCCATTGTGGTTATTTTTCTCATCATTAATTCTTTCCTCATGTTTTCTGTTTTTTCATTGTTGGCCTATTTGGTTGCGATGTGCTTTTCCTGTCTTTCATTTCACATTGCTGTTTTTTATTTCTTTAGTTGTTGTTTTTTTTTAACTTTGAATTAGTTCTGTCTGTAGAAATTTATTTTTCCTCTTTTAGTTAATTGTTCCTTTTGCCTCATCCCTTCTAAATCATGCAAACAATTGTACTTGCTTTTGTAATATTTCAAAGTTTACTGACCAATTTTTTTCTCTGGTCTCTCTGTTTCTCAACCATTTTTGTTGATTTTTGTGTTTGATTTCATTTTAAAATTTAAGAAACAGTTGAACGGAGTGCAGGAGCAACAAGATCCCTCCCCACCACTTACTCATACAAGCCATTCTTTTCTACAAGACCTTACCAGTCCTGGACAACAACTCCGAATACAGTGCCCGGGCCAACCAAGTCAGGCTTCACTTCCTTATCAAGTTCTTCCTCTAATACGCCATCCGCTTCTCCATTAAAATCAATATGGTCCGTTTCAACTCCTTCTCCAATCAAATCCACGTTAGGCGCATCAACGACATCTTCAGTTAAATCTATTAGTGACGTGGCGTCTCCAATTAGATCATTTCGGACAATGTCTTCGCCAATAAAAACGGTGGTGTCACAGTCTCCATATAATATGCAAGTTGCCTCTGGTACCCTGGTTAGAGCTCCGGCAGTCACGGAGGCTATGCCCTTAAAGGGGTTGGCATCCAGTTCTACATTTTCCTCTCGAAGCTCTCCCGTGACTACAGCAGGGTCTCTTTTGGAGAGGTCATCAATTACTATGACACCCCCTGCCTCCCCCAAATCAAACATTAATATGTATTCCTCAAGTTTACCATTTAAGTCAATTATTACATCAGCGGCACCACTAATATCTTCACCTTTAAAGTCAGTGGTGTCTCCAGCTAAATCAGCAGTTGATGTCATTTCGTCAGCTAAAGTTACGATGGCATCATCTCTCTCATCACCCTTGAAGCAGATGTCTGGACATGCAGAGGTAGCGTTAGTCAATGGATCTATTTCTCCTTTGAAATATCCACCATCTTCAACTTTAATTAATGGATGCAAAGCCACTGCCACGTTACAGGACAAAATTTCTACAGCTACAAACTCTGTAAGCTCTGTGGTGAATGCAGCCACTGACACAGCTGAGAAAGTGTTTTCTACCACAACAGCAATGCCCTTTTCCCCACTCAGGTCATATGTTTCTGCAGCACCATCAGCTTTTCAGTCTCTAAGAACTCCTTCCGCAAGTGCACTCTACACATCTCTTGGGTCATCAATATCTGCAACTACCTCATCTGTAACTTCATCAATAATAACAGTGCCAGTCTACTCTGTAGTCAATGTTTTGCCAGAACCAGCATTAAAGAAACTTCCAGACTCTAATTCACTTACAAAATCAGCAGCAGCCTTGCTGTCACCCATTAAAACATTGACTATGGAGACACGCCCCCAGCCCCATTTCAATCGGACTGCATCTCCAGTTAAGACATCTTTGTTCCTTGCACCTTCTGCCCTTAAGCTGTCTACACCATCTTCTTTATCTTCTAGTCAGGAGATACTAAAAGACGTGGCTGAAATGAAGGAGGACCTAATGCGGATGACCGCAATACTACAGACAGATGTGCCAGAGGAGAAGCCATTCCAACCTGAACTCCCCAAGGAAGGGAGAATTGATGATGAAGAACCCTTCAAAATTGTTGAAAAAGTCAAAGAAGACTTAGTGAAAGTTAGTGAAATCCTTAAAAAAGATGTATGTGTAGATAACAAAGGATCACCCAAATCACCAAAGAGTGACAAGGGACACTCTCCCGAAGATGACTGGATAGAATTTAGTTCTGAAGAAATAAGAGAAGCAAGACAACAGGCTGCTGTGAGCCATTCTCCATCTCTGCCAGAGAGAGTGCAAGTGAAAGCAAAGGCTGCCTCTGAGAAGGATTATAACTTGACCAAAGTTATTGATTACCTAACAAATGATATTGGGAGTAGTTCACTGACAAATTTAAAGTATAAGTTTGAGGATGCAAAGAAGGATGGTGAGGAGAGACAGAAAAGAATTTTAAAACCAGGAATTGCTTTGCAGGAACACAAACTCAAAATGCCGCCAGCCTCCATGAGGCCTTCCACCTCTGAGAAGGAATTATGTAAAATGGCTGACTCCTTTTTTGGAACAGATACTATTTTAGAGTCTCCAGATGACTTTTCTCAACATGACCAAGATAAAAGTCCCTTGTCGGACAGTGGCTTTGAAACAAGAAGTGAAAAAACACCTTCAGCCCCACAAAGTGCTGAAAGCACTGGTCCCAAGCCACTTTTTCATGAAGTCCCCATCCCTCCTGTCATTACGGAAACAAGAACTGAAGTAGTTCATGTCATCAGGAGCTATGAGCCCTCCTCTGGGGATGTTCCCCAGTCCCAACCAGAGGAACCAGTGTCACCCAAACCTTCCCCTACATTTATGGAATTAGAACCAAAGCCTACCACCTCTAGTATTAAAGAAAAAGTGAAGGCATTTCAAATGAAAGCCAGCAGTGAAGAAGATGACCACAGTCGGGTTTTGAGCAAAGGCATGCGTGTGAAAGAGGAGACTCACATAACCACAACCACCAGAATGGTTTATCATTCCCCACCAGGCAGTGAAGGTGCCTCTGAAAGAATTGAAGAAACCATGTCAGTCCACGACATCATGAAGGCTTTTCAGTCCGGGCGGGATCCTTCCAAAGAACTGGCAGGGCTGTTTGAACATAAGTCGTCAGTGTCTCCAGATGTTCACAAGTCTGCTGCTGAAACGTCAGCCCAGCATGCAGAGAAGGACAACCAAATGAAACCCAAACTGGAGCGTATAATAGAAGTCCACATCGAAAAAGGTAACCAAGCTGAGCCCACTGAAGTCATTATTAGAGAAACCAAAAAGCATCCAGAAAAGGAAATGTATGTATATCAGAAAGACTTATCCCGGGGAGATATTAACCTAAAAGATTTTCTACCAGAAAAACACGATGCTTTTCCTTGTCCAGAGGAACAGGGTCAGCAAGAAGAAGAAGAACTTACTGCGGAAGAGTCATTGCCTTCTTATCTGGAGTCTTCCAGAGTAAACACTCCTGTGTCCCAAGAAGAAGATAGCCGCCCTAGTTCTGCTCAACTCGTATCCGATGACTCCTATAAAACATTGAAGCTTTTGAGTCAACACTCCATAGAATACCATGACGATGAGTTGTCAGAGCTAAGAGGGGAGTCTTACAGGTTTGCTGAGAAAATGCTTCTGTCAGAAAAGCTAGATGTGTCTCATTCTGATACTGAGGAATCGGTTACAGACCATGCAGGAACCCCTAGCTCAGAGTTACAGGGGTCTGATAAGCGGTCCAGAGAAAAAGTAGCCACTGCCCCCAAAAAAGAAATACTCTCCAAAATCTATAAAGATGTGTCTGAAAATGGTGTAGGTAAAGTGTCTAAAGATGAGCATTTTGATAAAGTGACAGTATTGCACTATTCTGGCGATGTTAGTAGTCCAAAACATGCCATGTGGATGCGCTTTACTGAGGACAGATTAGACAGAGGTAGAGAAAAGTTGATATATGAAGATAGGGTGGACAGGACTGTAAAGGAGGCTGAAGAAAAGCTGACAGAAGTATCACAGTTTTTTCGTGACAAAACTGAGAAACTAAATGATGAACTGCAGTCCCCAGAGAAAAAGCCACGCCCCAAAAATGGCAAAGAATGCTCTTCTCAAAGCTCTACCAGTAGCAGCCCTGAGAAAGTACTAACAGAACTGTTAGCATCCAATGATGAGTGGGTTAAGGCAAGGCAGCATGGCCCTGACGGACAAGGCTCCCCCAAGGCCGATGAGAGGACAGCATCCAGTTTGCCCAGCAGCCCGGAGAAGAGAGTTGTGTCTGAACAGAGTGAAGATGGCAAGTCCACCGTGGAGGCCAAAGGAAGTGTCCCACAGAGCAAAGCACCAGAAGGGCCCCAGTCTGGATTTCAACTCAAACAATCTAAACTCAGTTCCATTAGATTAAAATTTGAACAAGGTACACATGCAAAAAGTAAGGACATATCTCAAGAAGACAAAAAGCCAGATGGCCAATCCAGAATCCCAGTTAAAAAAGTACAGGAGAGCAAGCTACCTGTCTACCAAGTGTTTGTTAGAGAAAAACAGCAGAAGGCCGTAGACCTCTCAGAGGAAAGCGTGTCTGTCCAAAAAGATTTGATGGTCCTAAAAGCTAAAGATGAGCATGTCCAAAGCAACGAGATTGTTGTAAATGATTCTGGCTCTGATGACGTGAAAAAACAGAGAACTGAAATGTCAAGTAAAGCAATGCCTGACTATTTTTCTGAGGAACAGGCTAAAGACTTGGCATGTCATGTAACCTCAGATTTAGCAACCAAGGGACCATGGGACAAAAAGGTCTTTAGAACATGGGAAAGTTCTGGAGCCACTAACAATAAGTCACAGAAAGAAAAACTTTCACATGTACTTGTTCATGATGTAAGAGAGAATCACATTGATCACCCCGAGAGTAAAAGTGTTGATCAAAAGAATGAATGTCTGTCTGTGACTGAGAGAGAACACAAATTGTTAACAAATGGCTCTCTCTCAGAAATTAAAGAAATGACTGTAAAATCTCCCTCCAAGAAAGTTTTATACAGGGAGTATGTTGTTAAAGAAGGGGAACGTCCAGGTGGAGCTTTCGATCAACCTCCCAGGAGAAGCGAGAGCTCAGCAATGTCACACATTCCAGTCAGAGTGGCTGATGAGAGGAGAGTGCTGTCTCCTAATATTCCTGATGGGTTTTGTGAGCAGTCGACATTTCCAAAACATGAACTATCACAAAAAGTGTCCCAGTCAACTATGAGTAAAGAGACAGTTGAGACACAGCACTTTAATTCTGTAGAAGATGAAAAAGTTACCTATTCAGAAATCAGCAAGGTTTCCAAACATCAGAGTTATGTAGGCTTATGCCCGCCTCTTGATGAAACTGAGACTTCCCCCACCAAATCTCCTGATTCTTTAGAGTTTAGCCCAGGAAAGGAATCTCCATCTAGTGATGTATTTGACCACAGTCCCATTGATGTATTGGAAAAACTTGCACCACTAGCCCAGACAGAGGGAGGGAAAGAGATAAAAACTTTACCTGTTTATGTCAGTTTTGTACAAGTGGGGAAGCAATATGAAAAGGAGATACAACAGGGGGGTGTAAAAAAAATCATAAGTCAGGAATGTAAGACAGTCCAAGAAACCAGAGGGACCTTTTATACAACCAGACAGCAAAAGCAGCCTCCTTCTCCCCAAGGTAGTCCAGAAGATGATACTCTAGAGCAAGTGTCCTTTCTAGATAGCTCTGGGAAAAGCCCTTTAACCCCAGAAACACCCAGTTCAGAGGAAGTAAGTTATGAGTTTACGTCTAAGACCCCAGACTCACTAATAGCTTATATACCAGGCAAACCTAGCCCAATTCCGGAGGTTTCTGAGGAATCAGAGGAGGAGGAGCAGGCCAAATCAACCTCCCTGAAGCCCACTACGGTGGAAGAAACAGTGGTCGAGCGTGAAATACCTAAAGATGTGAGCAGAGACTCTAGCCCAAGACCCAAAAATAACAGAGTTGCCTATATTGAATTCCCCCCTCCTCCACCGCTGGATGCGGACCAGATCGAGTCAGATAAGAAGCATCATTATCTTCCCGAAAGGGAGGTTGACATGATTGAAGTCAATCTGCAAGATGAGCATGAAAAATACCAGCTGGCTGAACCAGTCATCAGAGTGCAGCCACCCTCACCAGTTCCTCCCGGGGCAGATGCCACTGACTCAAGTGATGATGAATCTATTTATCAGCCTGTCCCTGTTAAAAAATATACTTTCAAATTAAAGGAAGTAGATGATGAACAAAAGGAAGTGGCAAAATCCAAAGCTTCTGCTGAAAAGGCTTCCAACCAGAAAGAACTGGAAAGTAACGGATCTGGAAAAGATAATGAATTTGGCCTTGGCCTTGACTCGCCTCAGAATGAAACTGCCCAGAATGGGAACAATGACCAGTCCATTACCGAGTGCTCTATTGCCACCACGGCAGAGTTTTCTCATGACACAGATGCCACAGAGATTGACTCTCTGGATGGCTATGATCTGCAAGATGAAGATGACGGTCTGACAGAGAGTGATTCGAAACTCCCAAGTCAAACTATGGAAATCAAAAAAGATGTCTGGAACACAGAGGGCATTCTGAAGCCAGCAGATCGCTCTTTTAGCCAAAGCAAACTTGAAGTTATTGAGGAGGAGGGAAAGGTGGGACCAGATGAAGATAAGCCATCCTCCAAAAGTTCTTCATCTGAAAGGACTCCTGATAAGACTGATCAGAAGTCGGGGGCCCAGTTTTTCACACTGGAAGGCCGACATCCTGACAGATCAGTGTTTCCTGATACTTATTTCAGTTACAAAGTAGATGAAGAATTTGCCACTCCTTTCAAAACAGTAGCTACCAAAGGTCTAGATTTTGACCCTTGGTCTAATAACCGAGGGGATGATGAAGTTTTTGATGGTAAATCACGGGAAGATGAAACTAAGGCATTTGGTCTGGCGGTGGAAGACCGCTCTCCAGCAACAACCCCTGACACTACGCCAGCCAGAACGCCAACTGATGAAAGTACCCCAACTAGTGAGCCTAACCCTTTCCCATTCCATGAAGGAAAAATGTTTGAGATGACTCGCAGTGGTGCAATTGACATGAGCAAGAGGGATTTTGTTGAAGAGAGGCTCCAATTTTTCCAGATTGGTGAGCATACTTCTGAAGGGAAGTCAGGGGACCAGGGGGAAGGGGATAAAAGTATGGTCACTGCCACCCCACAGCCACAGTCAGGGGACACCACTGTAGAAACCAATCTAGAGAGAAATGTAGAGGCACCTCCAGTTGAACCTAACCCCAGCAGCCCGACCAGCGGCGAGTGTGAGGAAGGCACATCCAGTGGTGGCTCCCTGGAGAGATCAGCCGCAGACAGTAACACCTCTAAAGTTGACCCCAAGTCACGTACGCCTATAAAAATGGGAATTTCTGCATCTACCATGACCATGAAGAAAGAAGGCTCTGGAGAAGTGACAGATAAGCTAGAAGCTGTGATGACCAGTTTTCAGGGATTAGAAAATGAAATTACAGTGATTTCAAATGCAGCCAGTAGCCAGATGGGCATTAGGCCTCAAGAAAAACATGATTTTCAAAAAGATAACTTTAATAACAACAACAATTTGGATTCTTCCACTATACAGACAGATAACATTACAAGTCATGTAGTTCTGACAGAACATTTTGCACCCACTTGTACCACAGAGAAAGCTAATCCAGTGAAAGGCTCATCAGGAAAAAAGACAGGGGTACTACAAGGACACTGTGCCAGAGATAAGCAGAAAGTTCTTGGAGAGCAGCAAAAGACAAAAGAATCAATAGGGATTAGGCGAAAATCCAAACTTCCCATAAAGGCCACTTCACCAAAAGATATCTTCCCACCAAACCATATGCCAAACAGTAAAACAAGTAAAATGAAACAGGTTAGTCCATCCGAGAAAACCAAAACCCTTACTACTTCTTCATGTGTAGATGTGAAATCCAGAATTCCAGTAAAAAACACACACAGGGAAAATCTAGTTTCAGTCAGAAAAGCATGTGCCACACAAAAGCAAGGGCAGCCAGAGAAAGGCAAGGCCAAACAGCTTCCATCCAAGTTGCCAGTAAAGGTAAGATCCACCTGTGTCACCACCGCCACCACCACCAACACCACCACCTCCACCACCACCACAGTTAAAGTTAGGAAAAGTCAGCTTCAGGAAGTATGTAAACATTCCATTGAATATTTTAAGGGCATTAGTGGCGAGACCTTAAAGCTTGTGGACCGCCTCTCTGAAGAAGACAAAAAGATGCAGTCGGAGTTGTCCGATGAGGAAGACAGTACCTCAAGAAACACGTCGTTGTCCGAGACTTCCCGGGGTGGCCAGTCTTCAGTTACAACGAAGTCTGCTAGAGATAAGAAAACAGAGGCAGCACCTTTAAAATCAAAGAGTGAAAAGGCCGGCAGTGAGAAAAGGAGCAGTAGGAGGACTGGTGAGAATGAAGGCAGTCAGGTTTTTCGAGCACTCTTTGCTCACAGCCTGGAGAACCAGCATAGTTTGTAAACACTTTCCAACTCGTAGACTCTAGTGCATGAACTGTCGTGATTGCCTGTGGAGTGACTTAACCGTAGTTTCTCATTCTGTCATTGTCATCTGTATGTGCTGTCTTATATACTCTTCTTTCTTCCTTTTAATAAAACTACACTGTAGACAGCTAGGGAAGCATGCTGAAGATACTGGTGTCATTCAAGATGAACAACTTTTTTTTTTTTTTAAAATGTGCTAATGGATATGATTCTGTCAAAGTAAAAGCACAGATACTGAAATACCATTGTGTTTTCACCAACACGACAATTCTATAACTGTTGTAAAGTAGCTAGCTTGTCAGCATGTTCAACCCCATTACATTGAGCATCCATGTAGTTTGACATTTGGCCTGATACAGGTGAAAAACAAGTGAGCCATGTAAAAAGAAGTGTTCATGTAGGTGATTAGGACACATCTAAGTGTACAGTGTTAGCGTTAGTCTCTCTGTAAAATCTGACTGCTGCTAAAAGCAATGTTCCAGTATCGTATCTTTCTTGATGATTATTTTAATTAAGAAATTGTAAATCGTAGGTCCACAGAGTCCATGCGAACGGACAGATATCAGGATGGCAATAGTAGCGGATCACCTGGGACTTAGTTGGACTGGTAAGTGTGTATACACCTGAATGAAACAAAGTACAGTTTCTTAATTTCCTTGTTTTATTCACATGCATTTTATTATGTATTTGTTAAAAAGAAACAAACACCTCAGTAAAAAAAAATTTTATCCATAATTCTGTCTATCCAGGTATAATTATTAATAGTACTTTGTACACTCTTTTTCCAAGGAACAGAAACATAAATCTTATTTTACCTTACATTTAAGTGTTTTTCTTCACAATGCCATTTCTGGTATTTTATTTGATAGCTACTTTCCTTTATGCCTTCTGATAAATTTGTTAATACCCATGACTTAAGTAACACAAAATCTTTAACATAGCATTTTGGGGACAGCTTTCTTAGGTTAACAGTTAAATTAACCATGCCTATATTTCACTGATTTTAGTCATTCATGAGTCATCTTTACAAAAGGTACTAGGCATTGAACCAAGGGCCTCACATGTACTAGGCAAGTGTTCTGCCACTGATCGATATATCTCCAGCCTGTTTTTAAAGAGATTGAGACAGGATCTTGCTAAGTTTCCCAGGCTGGCCTCAGACTTGGATTCTCCTAACTTAGCTTCCTGAGTAGCTAGTATTCTAAGCTTGTACTGCCACACCCGATAAACTTCATAATTTTTATGATGTATACATAAAATTTACAGGTTTATTTACCTGATGTGTCTAAATGGATTCACTTTTTTTTTAAATTAATATTATGCACAATGGTCCCATAGTTATTCTAAGGGGGGAACATAACTACTAATTTCTAATTATTGATGCATGCAATAATCCTTAGAGCTAAGTAATATTATTATACACTCTCAATAGATTAAGAAACTGAGTCTTTTTTAAAAATATTCTTTAGTTGTCAATGGGCCTTTATTTCACTTATTTTTATGTGGTGCTGAGAATCGAACCCAGTGCCTCACCCATGATAGGCAAGTGCTCTACACTGAGCCAAACCCAGCCCCTAAGTGGATTCACTTTTATGCTGAAAGATTTATTTAAAATGAAAACTTTATATTACTTCCATAGTAGGGAATGGGATTATTTGCATGTAACATCTGTATAAACAAGGAAACAGGAGTGACAAAGTTTAAATTTAGATTTTTTTTGGCCATGATGGGGATTGAACCTCGGGCCTTGGGCCGGAAAAGCATAGGATCTACCACTGAGATGCATCCCTAGATCACTTTAAAATTAAAAAAATAATAAAAAAAAATAAAAATTTAAAGGATTTAAGTAAGTAGGTAGACTCGGTTCACAAGAGTTGAGTTCTGTGAAACCATTAACAATTAGCATGTCCAAAAGGAATATTTGACTTCATTTTGCTTCAATAAAGACAAGATAAGGTTGTTTGTCAGGTGGGCCATTCTGCTTTGTAGTTTCTATCTTTATAAGGTCCCTAAAATCCTGCCTCACCTGAATCTGAGAAATTTTAAGTTTTATAGGTTATTTTTTTTAATGCACAGCCAAAAGACGTAATAGTTAAAATGTTATTGACATAAAGTAATCTTGCATATTATCAGTGTCATATGCCCCATACAACTATTTATTAAAAGGGAGAATGTGAAACTAGATAATTTGAACAAGTTTATTTTACACACACACTTTAAAGGCCCCCTATCCCATTTCCCCACTCTCACTCTCCCACAAACTATCTACTCTCCTCTCTTCAGCCTCCTAGATCCTATTCTAAGATATGTTGCTGATGATCAGGAGCCTAGTAGAGCTCTGAAAAGGGAGGTGGTCTGTGTGATCTTTTTTTTATATATTTTATTTATTTTTAGTTGTAGATGGACACAATATCTTTATTTTATTTTTATGTGGTGCTGAGGATAGAACCTGGGGCCTCGCATGTGGTAGGCAAACACTCTACCACTGAGCCACCACCCCAGCCCAGTCTTTGTGATCTTTTACAGATGGTTGAGAATAGTAATCTGTTATGTTTAACTATTTGCTAACAAATATTATGAAAATAATATTTGTGTTTTAACATTGAACATTAATCTGAAAAGATATTGGAGCAAATGTTGATTTTATGGTAGCACATGCCCATAACTATTAGATTTCCTTTAAACCAGTATAGTCCTTAGTTTTTCAGAGTAAATTTGTGGAGAAGATATGGCAGTATCAGAAAAGATAGATAAAAAGCAATAAAACTAAAATTCTCAGTGTCAGGATGTCTTTGCTCTTCATAAAGTCTCAAAAAACATCTACAGTTTGGTACTGAGGGCTTGTTGGGCAGTAGGAGTATTATCACTTAAAAAACTTAAAAAATTATAATTAGCTTCCCTAATTGGAATTACTATAAGCTTAATAAAGATTAGAAAAATTAAGACTTATTAAGAGAACAAATTTATTTTATTTATTTATTTTTTTTTGGAAGAAATCTGGGGCAGTTTATTTTTTCCTTTATTTGGCAACAGTATATTAAATATAAATATAAATGGTAAATATAAATTTAGTATATGAAAGATAGTATAAAGTAGTGCTTAAGAGTATGGATTCTAGCATAACATTGCATTTGGATTTTGGTTCCAGCATTTCTTATTTGTATGATATTTGATAAGTGTTACATAAAATTTTGTAGAAGAGCATGGATTTGGACTGAGCACTTGCACTAGGCCCAAAAGACTAAACTAATATAGAGTTTAATCATACTAATTCACATCTGGCTGGTTGCAGGACTCAGTATCCATTAGCTGATTAGGCTGTAAAAAATTAACTAGTTAAGCTACAATCAGTTGATTGACTAGTCTGTAGCCAATTAAGTTATTTTCTACATCTCTATTCTGTTTTCCTACTTGCACTGTCAAATCATATCTTTGTTTGGAGTTCTTAGAACCTGCTCTGGTTTGGGGAGCTGTCCAATTTATGAATGGGTTTTGTGTTACTTTGGTCAAATAAACCCTATTCAATTGAATTGGTTTAAGGAATTTTCTTCTTAATGCAAGTAGATTAATTTCTTTTTTTTTCTTTTTTCCTTTTTTTATTAGTTCAAAACATTACAAAGTTCTTGACATATCATATTTCATACATTTGATTCAAGCGGATTATGAACTCCCATTTTTACGCTATATACATAATGCAGATTCACATCGGTTACACATCCACTTTTTTACCTACTGCCATACTAGTGTATGTTGTATTCTGCTGCCTTTCCTAACCTCTACTATCCCCCCTCCCCTCCCCTCCCCTCCCTTCCCCTCCCTTCCCGTCTTCTCTCCCTACCCCATCTACTGTAATTCATTTCTCTCTCTTGTTTTTCCCCCCCTTTCCCCTCACTTCCTCTTATATGTAATTTTGTGTAACAATGAGGGTCTCCTTCCTTTACCATGCAATTTCCCTTCTCTCTCTCTTTCCCTCCCCCCTCTCATCCCTGTTTAGTGGTGATCTTCTCATGCTCTTCCTCTCTATTCTGTTCTTAGTTGCTCTCCTTATATCAAAGAAGGCATTTGGCATTTATTTTTTAGGGATTGGCTAGCTTCACTTAGCATAATCTGCAGAGAACAAATTTAAATCTGTATTTTGAATCCACCATTAATGATCCACTTTTTTATTTAAAATAGTTAAATTTTATAGTTTTCTACTAAATAAATATATTCTCTGATCTTGGCTTTAATGTATAACTAGTATATTCAAAAGATACACCTTATGAGTATCTTTTTCTGTTGGTCACAATATAATAATGAATCAGGAATCAATTTATTCTTTTTTGTTTTAAAATGGAATATAAAAAATTATCTGTATATTACATGTATTACAGCTAAAGTTTCCTCCATGGAGATCTGGCATTTATACAAACAGGTATATTTCTAACTGTAGGTTATGGTCACAGCAGTTTGCAAGCCTACCTTACATTAACTTTTGTCCTTTTGTTTTCGTGTGGATTGTTTTCAGTTTTTCAAGAGTTCAACTCTGCAAAGAATAGTCAGGTATAAAAGTCATTTTACACAAACTCTAATATATTTTCAGGATAAATTTCTAGAAGTGAATCACTTGATCAAAGGATAAGGGCTCTTTTGAGTTTGTGAATTCATTTTGACAAGTTGCTAGATATATTTCTTATCAAGAATAGAATATTGATCAATCCCTTTCCATGTGAGCATTTTTTTCTATTTCTTTTTAATAATCATTTCAGGTAATGCATACTTGGTAAGTATTTTTTAAGATACACAAAAGTATACCGTGAAAAGTAAATTTTTCTAAGTTCCCATTCTCCAAAGCAGCCACTACTACTCAGAATGTATATATCTTCTCAAAAGACATTCTCTGCATTTCCAGGATTGAGGGTATGAATATATATATGGATAGAAAGCTCTCTCCCTTTTATTTTTCAAACCAGTATCTGCCTATAAGATAAAATTTCCTGGAGTCATCATTTAACCTCCTTAGCAGAAGCAGAGTTCTTGAAACTTGAGGGCATTATAGAGTGGAATATTATGTGGGTCAAGGTGCACTTCATGAAGATTGCTTGAGGTAACCTTACTGCTAGCTCTTGTGCCATATGTATAAACTGTATAAACTGCCTATCTTGTATGCAATTTGTTCAAATGGCAGATAATTGGCTGAATTAAAAGAATCAAGCAACATCCTCTTTGTAAAAAATTGAGACTCTTTCTAAAATGATCTCTACAGGGTATTTGATTATAAATAATTACCTAAAGAAAGCTAAGTTACAGCCTGACTATAATCACTAGTTTCCTGTGAAATCAAGTATCTGAAGATTAATGCCCAAGGCTGTACGTGGGCTTTTCTGTGAATTTCCTTTTTCTTGCTAGCAATTGAATATTACTTTGATAAAATGTATATAATAAAAGTAGAATATGCAGTCTTAATAACTCTCTTTCTTTTTACAGAACTGGCAAGGGAACTGAATTTTTCAGTGGATGAAATCAATCAAATACGTGTGGAAAATCCAAATTCTTTAATTTCTCAAAGCTTCATGTTATTAAAAAAATGGGTTACCAGAGATGGAAAAAATGCAACAAGTACGCTAAAATTATATTATTTTAACTTTCAAAAATGCATATATTCAACATTTTAGATAAGCCTGCTGTTAGTTCATGCAAATGCTCTGTTTTCTGCAATATAGAAAAATGAGTGATTAAAAAAAACTAAGACTTTTGAAGTTATACTTGCTTAATTTAGTGCTGATACCGTAAAGCCCTTTGGAAAGCAAGTAGTGGGAAACTGTTTGCATTTTATCTATTCTGTCCATGACCATCCAAAAAAAAAAAAATTATGGCTTCTATATCATGGGAATATCATCTGAAACACTCTGAAGTTATTGCTGTGGCCAGAGGCAGATGTGCAGGGAAGTGCGGAGAGGAGGATAGAATCTTAGGTGATCAAGTACTTGTATTCTGTGCGGCAACAGAGAATTCCCTAATACTATTGGGTCTCAAGAGGTGCACAGGGTGCCGTAGTTTGGCATGTGCTAACCCACAACAATATAGAATATGTTATTGTGGGTTTCCCTGTGTCGACTTGATTTTCAGAACTCATTAAAATGCTAAGCATTAAACATGAGGGTGACCTATTTTGACATTCTGAAAGGAAAAGGGACTTGTTTGAAGTTAGATCCCTTTTACCTAAAAGAAGTCCAGCTATTTTAAGGCCCATCCATTCTGTTACAGTGGAATGAATGCTGTTGCCTTCACACACAGCTTTACAAAGTGATTCTTAAGATCCCGACTTTCCTGCAGCAGCAAGCCCTCTAAGCCCTCTGGATGATATTGCAGATCTTGAGTAAGAAGCTGAAATGCCAGGAGGTCTGCGAAAGCCATGCATTTGTGTGGATACTGTGCTGACTCAAAGCAAATAATTTCATTGTTGTTTTTTTTTCCCCCTCCTTTTCAGCTGATGCCTTAACTTCGGTCTTGACAAAAATTAATCGAATAGATATAGTGACTCTACTAGAAGGACCAATATTTGATTATGGAAATATTTCAGGCACCAGAAGTTTTGCAGATGAAAACAGTGTTTTCCATGATCCTGTTGATGGTAATTGAATTTAGTGTTCATATTTATTTAATCATTTGATAAAATTGAAAGTATAGTCAGACAAGGCATTCACTTAAAACCAATTAAATTGTGATTTGCTTGATTTAATTTCTGATTTTTATACCATTTTCTCTGTCAGAGGCTGCAAATAAGCATTATGACAAAAGAGCAAACTAGGTAAATATATACAGAACAAATAATGAGGTTTGAAAGTGTAAGTTAACTGAAAGAGTGTTATTTTAAAAATTTATGTGAAAAACAGAAGAAAGTAATACCTCAAAAATGCATTGTTTTTAATTTTAATTTTTATATTAATCTAAAAAACTAGTGATCTTTTATTCATATATAGGTAAAATACATTATGCTCCAACTTTTACCATAAAAGCAAAGTATTGAGTCTAGTTTAAGCATACAGTACAAACTGTTAAGATAAAATGTGAATTACTGTTCTGGGAACAAATATTTAAGCATGTACTGGGAAAGTCTAATGTACCAGAGTGTTATTTACTTAGCATTATTTTAACTTCAATGCTGCCATTAATACTTTGGGGAAAAAACCCTACTTGATATATTGTATAAAAAAGAGGATAATTTCTAATATAATGAGCATAGCTATCACTAATAATTAATTTTTCACATTAGCTTATGTAATTTGTCATCTTATTATATAAATTGAGACTTTTTCAGAAAAGTATTAAGAAAATCATAATTTATGTGTTTTCCAAGATAGTCGCGTGTTACCTTCATGAATGGAAATTTTTTCCTACAGTGGATTTTGAGTAGAAAATGTTGATGGTGTGGAGATAAGAAAAGAATCCAGTAATATTTTTATACTGTTCCAAGTTCTGAAAAATATGGTTATTTTCATTTTTCAAATTGGCAAAGTTAGAATAACAAAGGTCATTAACTTCTAATTCTGCATATATTATATGGAAGAAAAAGCTCAAGTTCTTAGAAAGTTTTGCTTACTAAAGTTAAAATCAAGAGAATATTTAAAGCATATCTGTAGTACATGATATAAACACAGTGAATAATAAAATCAAAAGTGTTGGGGTTTTTTTTTGAGCTTATAAGTTCCATAAAATCTTGGGGGCAGGTTCTCTCCAAAGCTTTGTCTTGTATGTGAGACATTATATATTGCTAATCAAACTATTTTTGCACTGTACAAATATAAATTATTGTTATAGCAAACTGATTTATTGACAAGTTTTAGCTTATAAACCATTCTAATATTCTTTTTTTGGGGAAAAAAACTAATAAAAGTATCTATGATAAAAAAGATCACCAAAATACAATGTAAGTGTTGTGTTCTTAGCAGCTTCATTTAACTCAACATTTTAATATCAGGTTATCATTAAAATAAACCCACAAGGGCTTTTTGTTATTATGACTTAATATTTTGTATTCCTTATTTTTAAATTTCTTAAGGAAATTCCAAAATGAAATAAATTTCACTTGTGCAAATTATAAACTGTAGCTAATTATAAGACTCTGGTTTATAGGTGACCATAAATGAAAAAGGTCCACTTACTTGTAGCAATTTCAATTTATAATAGCTAAGTGTATACTTACCTTGGACAAATAGGGAAGCTGCTCATATGTAACACTTTTTTAAATGTGATAGGTAATGAATTACAAAATTTGGTTTCTTGTGGCTTGCTGTATTTTGTCCACCACAATATGGATTTGGGGAATTTTTGTAGACAAATAATTCAGAAAATTACTCCTGTCTCTCCTCTTAGTGAATTTTTGTGAAACTTCCTTTCCTCACCATGACCAGACCATTGTTGACTTTTCTCTCTAAGGCAGAAAAAGACTTCTGTAGTCCATACAGCAATGTTTAAAATGAGATTAGCTCCTTCCTTCCCTTTTACAAGCAGGTTAATTAATAAACTACACATATCGTAGCATTGTTGTGAATTTTCTGAGTGCTCTTGGCAAATGATTTTCCTCCTGTTTTGTGTCATTTTTTTCCTTTTAATTCGTGGTTCTAAGTGGACTCCATCACCAACTTCACCAAGACCTTCATATATTCCACAGTCCTTTCATTTCTGTTACATTATGACACCTGAAAACTTTACATGGAGTCTTTTCTACTTTGTCTTCTTTTTACATCCTTTTCCTAACAACTTTAGGTTTTTACTCAGTGCTACTGCTCCAAAATCTAATAATTATTTCTTTCCAAAGATTAAATTCATTTCTTTCCTATAATTTCATACAAAACAATAATTAAGAATTGGGTTATGTTGCTCATATGTACAGTTTTTTAAATAAGTTATAATTTGAATTAATTGATTAAATTTAATTAATTTACTTGGTTTCTTGTGGCTTGCTGTATTCAGTCTACCACAGTATGAATTTTGCATGCTAAAACTAGAAAGATAATAAATTTGGCCATGAAATGTGTTTTATATAATGACAACTAACTTCTTATTCAGTTAGCCTGGATATTTAAGATACTGTATTTAAATTACCAAAATTGATAGCAATAATTGATAGTATTTATTTTACTATAGTTTACACTAGTCTTATTTCATTGTATTACACTTAACTGAACTAAACCAATAAATTATCAACATTATTCTGTGATTCATCGTGCATTTTCATACCTGATATAATTTTAATCATTCCATGTGTTTTGTTTGATGTATTTTCTAATTCATTCCAGTCAGTCCAAATGTACTGTCTTCCATAGGTTATCCTTCCCTTCAAGTGGAACTGGAAACCCCCACAGGGTTGCACTACACACCACCCACCCCTTTCCAGCAAGACGATTATTTTAGTGATATCTCTAGCATAGAGTCTCCCTTTAGAACCCCCAGTAGACTGAGTGATGGGCTAGTGCCTTCTCAGGGAAGCGTAGAACATTCAGCAGATGGACCTCCAGTTGTAACTGCAGAAGACACTTCCTTAGAAGACAGCAAAATGGAAGACTCAGTGCCTTTAACAGGAATGCCTGAAGCAGTGGATGTAGATGAGAGCCAGTTGGAGGATGTGTGTCTGAGTGAGTATCCTCAATACCTCGGAAATTTGGCTGGGGTCCCAAAAGATGTTAAACCAGCAGAGCCATTGAAACAGACTAGAAAAGTAGGCATACGCTCTGAGCAGCAGGAGAAAGGAAAATCTGGTCCTGATGAGGAGATGACAGAAGAAAAACTCAAATCTCTATTTGAGGACATTCAACTTGAAGAAGGAGTAGAGTCTGAGGAGATGACAGAAGAAAAAGTACAGGCTATTCTTAAACGTGTTCAGCAAGCAGAACTGGAAATGTCTTCAATTACAGGTTGGCAGAATGAGACATCAAGTGGAAACCTAGAGTCCCCTGCTCAAGCTCGAAGAATAACTGGTGGGTTACTAGATCGACTGGATGACAGGTATGGCTCTATTTCAGGAAAAGCAAGCTGAAATGCAGGGGACCCCTGAATGCTTTGTTTTAAATAGATGTTTTTTTTAGCAATGATTCTAAATTACCAGTCAAGTTCTGGAATATTACTTTAAAGGTTGGTTCATGATTCTAATCTAGATAGGAAAAGTGAGTTTAAATTCAAATGTAATTCTCAGAACAATTGACGGTCTGAAGTAATAAGTAAAAATGTTACATACATCCCAAAGGTTTATATGTTGTCTTTACTCTAGAAGACTGTACTTTTGGGGCTGGGGATGTAACTCAATGGTGTACCACATGTCTAGCACATGTGAGGCCCCAGTACCATAAAGAGAGGCAGGGAACTATACATTTCTAGTATTTACTTGTATTATTCTTTTCATATAGCCAGTAATTAATGTTTAAGACACTTTAATAAATGAAAGTCCAAATCTTTTAAGAATATAAACATTTCTTGTTTCTGAGCTACAAATATAATGCTCAAAATACAAAATATTGAAATACATCCAGGCACAGTGACATATGCCTGTAGTCTCATCAATGTAGGAGGCTGAGACGGGAGGACTGCAAGTTTGAGGCCATCCTGGGTAACTTTGTGAGAATGTGTCTCAAAAGGAAAAGGGCTGAGTATGTAATTGAGTGGTACAGTGCCCTGTAGTTTATTCCCCAGTACAAATCATAGTAATAATCAATACATTCCATCATCCGGCAATAACCATCATTAAAATTTTGGTGAAAATGCTAGAGGCATAGCTAGAAGCATGTAGATCACATGCTTAATATACGCAAGGGCCAACACCAATCACCGACACCAAAAAAGAAAAACAAAATAATGGATTCCCTATCTTCTATGTACATTTTAGAAAGTGCAGAGAAGAAATGGTATCTTTCCTGCCATAGTAATAAAAACTTAACATTTTATGTCCTTCCAGTTTTCTATACGTAACTCTCTACTTCAAAAATATTGCCATCTCTCTTATTTGTTATTTATAACCAAAATAATTCCCTAAACATGAATCTGGCTTATTTTTATACTGACCCTGATCTAGAATGATAAGAAGTCTAGAGATCCTCAGACATTTGGTCAAATCCCACCACTACTAGGTACACATTTTGTGACTGGATGAATTTCTAATCTCTAACAATGTTACTTTGCTCATCTTTAAACTACTACTTCCCTCAAAAAGAAAGCATGTATCATACCTACAACATGACTAGAGCAAATAGTAATCTTTTAGTAATGGTGGTATTTTTATTGACCCACATGTCAGACTAAAATATTTTTACTTCAGTGGCAGCTAGTAAAAGCCTTAGGTTGGATTCAAGAAACTGATATTATTTTATAACCATGTGAAATATTTCCATATTGCTGATAAATCTCTTGCTCAGTAAAAATTCCCAAAGAGGGACTTTATAAAATTTGCAAAGAGAAGTTTATGAACTCCTTTTGCAAAATGAAGTCATCAATAAATTCTCTATATAGGCTACCAAAGAATCTACTACAAAGAAGACAAATACTGGTAACTCTGATGTCTGTGTTCAGATATAATTTGTAATTGCATATTAGAAAGCGGATTTAGATATTGGAAAAGGTGTTCATTATTATTAACTGGCTAACATCCTTTATTTAATATAGGCTCTGCCAGTGAATTATATTGAAAAATTACTGAGTCATCTTGCTCCATAAAAGTAAGAAAATGATAGTGACTTCTGGTATAATCATATGTAGGGAAATTTAGTTGATAAATATAATTTTCTATTCCCCTATCCACATTGCTTAAGTCATAAAAGTAAATATCCTATACTACTTCAAAGTCTGCTGAGATTGTTGTTACACTAAAATGGGCTGTGCTATTTTAAAGTCCTTTAAAAAAAATGTTCTGCTAACCAGATTTTGATTTAAAGTAGGTGCACACACTTTTATACATATTTTACATATACATAAAATACTGCACTAGTCATTGCCTTCTATAGACAAGACATGAAAAACAGTATACAAATTACAAAACAGTGAATATAGTTTATACTAAAGCTAGCATAAAACTAGTGTACATTAATATACTGAAACAAGTAAAAAAAACTTGAAGTCTATTTAAAAGAAAGTGAGTCTTGGAAAATAAACCAGTTCTCACAGGAAGTAGAAACAAAGGGGGTGCACCAACACTGATCACCAATAAGGTCAAGAGTGGAGAAAGATGAGTTTCAGGGAAAGCTGTTATGATTGAATAAGTGTGATGGCTGGATTCATAACTGAAAACAAAGAACTAAAATTTGGGGTTCTGTGATGCTAGAATTTCAAGAATCGTTTGTCTTTTGTCAGGAAGTTTTGTGTTTTGTTTTTTGACTGTGATATGATAGGAATTTGAAATAACCTTCCCTTTTAATTACTGGTATTGGAACTCTTAAGTATATCCACAAACAATTTAAGATGTAGAATATAAGTAGCTCTTGAATTACAATTAAAACCTGGCATGGGCCAGTCATGGTGGCAAATGCCTTTCAACCCAGCAAGTCAGGAGGCTGAGGCAGGAGGATTTCAAGTTCAAGCCCAGACTCCACAATTTAATGAGGCCCTAAGCAAATAACAAAACCCTGTCTCAAGACAAAAAATAAAAATGGTAGAGATGTGGTTAAACACCCTAGGTTTAATACCAGGTTTAACAAACAAACAAAAAACTGGCATGACTAGTCAGTTGTGATGTAGGGGATGCCTGGAACCTATACATACTTCCTCATACACCCACCTAGGAAAGTCCCTCAGTTTAGATTCAGTCACCAGATTTTTCATGTCTTCAGAAATACTTAAGAATGGCTGTTAAAACTTTGGAGCTTCTAAAGTCATATGTTGCCATTGTAAATTTGCACATTTTATCATTTGCAGCCCTGATCAGTGCAGAGATTCCATTACCTCATATCTCAAAGGAGAACCTGGAAAATTTGAAGCTAATGGAACCCATGCAGAAGTCACACTTGAAGCAAAGACAAAATCTTACTTTCCAGAATCCCAAAATGATTTAGGAAAACAGAGTGCTAAGGAAACTCTGAAACCCAGAATACACGGATCTGGTCGTGCTGAGGAACCAACATCACCACTAGCAGCATATCAGAAATCTCTGGAAGAAACCAGCAAGCTTGTAATAGAAGAGCCTAAACCCTGTGTGCCTGTCAGTATAAAAAAGATGAGTAGGACTTCTCCTGCTGATGGCAAGCCAAGGCTTAACCTCCATGAAGAAGAGGGATCTAGTGGGTCTGAGCCAAAGGTATGTCCTCTGGTCATCCAGAATGTCATCATAAAAATTAAAAGTATTGATGTTTTGCTTCTTTTGATTACTCCCACAGCACAGGACTTAAGATTCTATTTCTAAATTATAAAAAGTTGTGGCAAAAACGGTGGAAGTAAAGGAAATGCTGAGTAAAACATGCCATTTGATCAGACCTTCATTCATTGGGTAGAGAAAAAAATAAGCATCTCTTTAGCCCTTTTCAGGAGACATTAAGTAACTAGCTTGAAGTCCAATACTATTGGAGGTTTAGGTTTTCCAACTCCAAACCCAGTGTTCTCTCTTACGGAAGGATAATTCTGATCTTTTTGATTTGGGGGCATAATTTAAAGAGTATACAGCATCGTAACCATCTAAGAGTTCTATAAGTTCTTTTGTCTGAAAGCGTTTTGAAAATTGAAGAGATGCAATTACCAGGTACGGTATGAGGTGGGTTGGCAGCAGTTAGAAATTTATAGTTAGTTATCAACTTAAAAATGTTTTAATTACTAGAAGAAGAATCATCTTTCTGTGATAGAATTATAAACTTGCTCTTTATATTGATATGTTTTGTGGTATCACCTAATGGATTTTTAAAAATTCTTTGAGGCTGACCATTTTTTGATATTAAAACATTTAAGCTGAAATTGCGACTCCAAGATGGACATAAGAAAATGAGATATTTTTCCTACTTTTCATGCTCTCAATTTTTGTGTATTTTGGTCACCTATGCAACAGATATATAAACACTTAGAAAAGACTTTTTTTTGTCAAACAGTGAATTCACGATTTATTTGAGGTTTAGAAAAACTTCAGCATATACTCCCAGTCACTCTCTGTGAATTTATCAACAAATCATATCCTTTTCTTTCTGTAAACTTATCTTTTGGTTATTTTTCTGCTTGTTATAAGCTTTATGGTTTGAGTGTTTCTCCAGCTTTTTACTTCTTTCTTGATAAGTGTAGTTTGGAATCTTGATTTTTCTCTTTGAATTAACTCAGTATATTTAAGCAGAATGAATTTGGATAGACTATTCCCTTTTAAGATGAGCCTACAAAATATAGGGAGAAGCAATAACTGGTTTTTACCTGTAAAGACATATTATGCAAAAGCCTATTAAAAATCAACATAGACATTCTGCAAGTTACTGTATGATATAAATAAGCACTGATACGTGTGTAAGTGTGCACATCTCTTGGCCATTGGGAAACCATACTAGCATTAGCATAAAAGGAGGTTGAAAGTGGAAACTCAGTTGGGTTCATTAGTAATGGAAACAAATTTTTATTAGAAAATGCTTTCAAGATTGCTTATAAATTAATCTGTATCTTTGGTACTGGTTCAGTCCTACTCTAATGGTTAAACACTAGATATCATAAATAATCTATAATGAAGTTAAAGCTTTTGGGAGATATGAGTGACCTCATAAGAAATCCAAAGGTGTTCATCATATGTCTTTCATAGATCTATCACAGTATGTAGCAACCAACTAGGTCATCTGATGTATGATCTCAGAATACAGTCCCCTTTTTATCCCCTAAAAAATCAGGTCAAAAGTCCCGGTGCTGCTCTTACACGGATGACTGCTTGCTGTTACAAGGTAAAAGTCTATTTTCTCCCTCTTTTTATACAGCAACACTTTTCAGGAATACTGAGAAAATTCCATTTATACTACTAAAATATCCCCCTTTACCAGTTTCTAGGGAATTCTCTTAAAGGAATTCTTTGAAATCCTACTACTGTCTTCTATTTACCTTAAGGCTACCAGACTACAGCGAAAAAGTAGAAACTGAAACTTGACCAAATGGCCACTTTTTCTTTATGTCGTCTTTATGTAAGGGCTTGCATGGTCTCAGGATTCTTGAAAGGACTATTATCTAACTGACAACTAGGTGTGTTGTTGGTATTTCCAATAATATGTTCTTCTGCTTTTAATTTACTCAAATTTTTCCCAAAATAAGATTCTTTCTGTGAATAATTCAAAATCATTTTTTACTTTTGCCTCATCCAAATTCTGGAACTGAAATTCTTGCTGAAATTTTAAAAATATAATAGGGAACTTGGCTTTCAAATTCTTCATTTCTTACAAGGATACTAGCTGCTATTTCCTCTGGAAAACATTATTCAATGGAATATTTTGTTCAGGTGAAATGCCCTATAAAATCAATGTTGCTATTAATTTAATATACTTGTCAAGTTTATCTTTGGGGAAAAAAGGGGCTTACTTTATTATCTATGCAACTAACATTTCATAAGGTATTTTATCTAACACCTATACTTGCTCTTGCAATTTTGTGTTTTTCCCCCACTGTTTTTACACACATTCTTACTTTTCCAATAGATATTAACTATAACTCTTATCTCTAGATTTGAGGTAATTACCAGAATTCCACCATTATAATTTAGAAATTCAATAAATACTCTTTACCATGACCCTTATTCAAAAATCAAAAAATATTTCCCCTTTGAATTATGAACTATTTGCCACTTTAGTTTTTCCTGATTCCTACCCTTATTGCCTAAAATTTTGTGCAATTACTACATTCTTATCTACTCCATATTCTTTGAGTGTTCTCAGTTCTAATTTCATATCAGATTGTTAAGTTGTCAATCCTTCATTCAATTGCATAAAATTAGTATTAGCTGTATTGATAATATTCTGCTGATACAAATTTGTGTGTCACATTATGCTGATGTAAATTTCAAAATAATTGTTGATAAAGATGTCAAATTTGACCAAAATTTCATTTGAGTCAGAATGACTTGGTAGACTGAGTGAAATGTGACCCAGAATATAAGGTAATACATTCAAGGCAAATGTATATTTAAAACTATTGAAAAAGGAATATAAGTTTCTACAAACTGATAGTTTTTAATTTCAGAAGCCAAAAGGCTCTATAATTATTTTTAATAAATTATAATTTAATTATCTTGCTCTTTACCTATAGTATATGTCCATATATATATACACGCATATACAAGCTTGGAATCCTGCTCAAAATTTTTCTTCTACTTAAATTTATCTTAGTATTCTCACAAACATACATAATAATATTCCTTAGTAGGGGAAGAACAGCAAGTAAATAATTCTTTCTTGATTTCCCTTCTCAGCAGTGTCTTTTATTTTAAATGTGATGGTAAAATTATACTAAAAATGCATTTATCAGGACTTAAGAGACAGTGAGAGTGATTCAAGCTCAGAGGAGGAACGGAGAGTCACTACCCGAGTTATTCGCCGGCGTTTGATTATTAAGGTATCCCACAGCCAGATCATTATGGGCCACTGCCATATTACTAGAAATCTCTTTCATGTGGTTTTGAAAATTCAGCATGCTTGGTAACTAAATGACTCTGTGTATGTTTCTTTGCATACTTGAAAGTTTACAAAAAATTGAAAAAGGAAACCCATGTTGCATGGAAGTGAATATTTTATATAGACCTGTTTGACATGTGAGAGTTGCAATTTTATCTGAGAATTCTTGGTTTTGTATCCTCCTTTTCTTGGAGAAGTGTTATATGTGTCAACAAAGATTCTATTTTGGTGAGAGCGTAGTTCATATCAAATGAAATGTTCACTGAAGCCTCAGCCAAAGGAGGCAAGATAAAGAAGAAAGATAATGAAAATTTTTAAGTGCAAATCAGTCTTTATTATGAGAATTTTAGGTTATAGTCTGGCATGAATATATGTGGCATAACACAAGTAAAGCAAAAATTTCTGAAATAGGTTTTTTAAATTTAGTTTAATTTAATTATTTATTTTAGATTGAACCCAAGGCCTCATGCATGCAAGGCAAGCACACTATTACTGAGCTATACCCCCAGTCCTGAAATGTATTTTTAATGGTACTAACATGCACCAAAAAGCTGCACTTGTAAGTATAGAAAACAACTTTTTGTTAGAAAAGTATAATTCCACTCTACTACAGCACAATTAAAAACATTATGAATATTTGACGCACCAATCTTACACATGATCAAGTCCATGAGGATGCTCCTTGCAGTGTGCCACTTGTCCATTACTTTGTCTTTAGATAGACCTTTCTTGAGGTTAGAATAATTGAGTGCAGAGGACCAAGAAGTGAGTTTCAAGGCACAGAAGAACACTGAATATCATCCCGATAACTTGGGGCTTCTTTGTTAGTAGCTCTGTAGAGAAAGAGAAATGTCTATTGCAAAGAGTTTATCAAACTTATTCAAGTCCAAAAGTGTCAGGAAACTCAACATAGACATTTTGCATACCCAAAATGTCTTAATCCTTCTGCTTTGTACTTTTTCACTAAGATCAGATGAAAGAAGACAGTATAACTTTTTTAAGACTCTGGAAACAGAAGTTTGAGCTGTCCCCCATATCAACTATGAGATCAGTAGGGTGCCCTTAATAAACCAACTATCGCTTCTTTGGAAATATTACTTATTGCTGTCTAGCATATTTATAAGGATTCAGCCTGCTTAGTAAAATCCTATTGGCTTCATAGAGCAGAGGAGTTCAATTCTTCTCAAATACCCGCTTCTTGATGTTGGTGTAGTTTTAGATTAAATGAGTGAAATCATCAGAGAATAGGTTTTATAACTGGGGAGAGCATTGTATAACAAATCATAAACAAGCTTTGAGAAATGCCTTTTACATGTGATAAGAAATCAAAGGCTTAGAATAACTACAATTGTCATTCAAAATTATAGGCATAACACAAAAAGTACTTTGTTACATATATAGAATCCTTTCCAGTTAATATTTTTCTGTTCTGATTTTTGGAGCAGTTGAAAAGAGGAAAGCAACAGATGTGATTCTTTACTCCATATGGTGTTATCTTTCTAAATAAAGTAAGAGCTTAAGGACTACAAGTAGTATATGGTAAATATGATATCAGAATCACATCTGTCACAAACATGAAATGCTAGGACCTAAAGGTGTCATCAAGACTGAAATTATTCTTTTTTCCTTGATCACAATACTGGAGATTAACTGACTTACTCAAAATCACATAGCTGGGCGGCAGTAG